CATGCAGCTCAATATCAAAAAAACAAACAACCCAATCGAAAAATGGGCAGAAGAGCCAAATAGACATCTCTCCGAAGAAGACATACAGATGGCCAAGAAGCACATGAAAAGCTGCTCAACATTACTAATTATTAGAGAAATGCAAATCAAAACTACAATGAGGTATCACCTCACACCAGTTAGAATGGGCATCATCAGAAAATCTACAAACAACAAATGCTGGAGAGGGTGTGCAGAAAAGGGAACACTCTTGCACTGTTGGTGGCAATGTAAATTGATACAGCCACTATGGAGAACAGTGTGGAATTTCCTTAAAAAACTAAAAATAGAACTCCCATATGACCCAGCAATCCCACTACTGGGCATATACCCAGAGAAAACCATAATTCAAAAAGAGTCATGTACCACAATGTTCACTGCAGCTCTATTTACAATAGCCAGGACATGGAAGCAACCTAAGTGTCCATCAACAGATGAATGGATAAAGAAGATGTGGCACATACATACAATGGAATATTACTCAGCCATAAAACGAAACGAAATTGAGATATTTGTAGTGAGGCGGATGGACCTAAAGTCTGTCCTACAGAGTGAAGTAAGTCAGAAAGAGAAAAACAAATACTGTATGCTAACGCATATATATGGAATCTTAAATAAATAAGTTCTGAAGAACCTAGAGGCAGGACAGGAATAAAGGCACAGATGTAGAGAATGGACCTGAGGACATGGGGAGAGGGAAGGGTAAGCTGGGACGAAGCGAGAGAGTGGCATGGACATATATACACTACGAAATGTAAAACAGATAGCTAGTGGGAAGCAGCCACATAGCACAGGGAGATCAGCTCAGTGCTTTGTGACCACCTAGAGGGGTGGGATAGGGAGGGTAGGAGGGAGGAGATATGGGGATATATGTATATGTATAGCTGATTCACTTTGTTATAAAGCAGGAACTAACACACCATTGTAGAGCAATTATACTCCAATAAAGATGTTAAAAATAAAAATAAAAACTTTAAAGTGGAAAAAAAAAAAGACACATGTACCCCAATGTTCACTGCAGCACTATTTACAATAGCCAGGACATGGAAGCAATCTAAATGCCCATCGACAGACAAATGGATAAAGAAGATGTGGTACATAAATACAATGGAATATTACTCAGCCATAAAAAGGAGAGAAATTGGGTTATTTGTAGAGACATGGATGGATCTAAAGACTGTCATACAGAGTGAAGTAAGTCAGAAAGAGAAAAACAAATATCGCATATTAACGCATATATGCGGAACCTAGAAAAATGGTACAGATGAACCTTTTTGCAGGGCAGAAATACAGACACAGATGTAGAGACCAAACGTATGGACACCAAGGGGGGAAAGTATGTGTGTGTGTGGGGGGGGGGGGGTGTGTGGGATGGATTGGGAAATTGGGATTGATATATATACACTAATATGTCTAAAACAGATAACTAATAAGAACCTGCTGTATAAAAAAAATAAATTAAATAAAATTCAAAAATTCAAAAGAAAAAGAACTTTAAAAAAATAAATAAATAAAAAATTAAAATACAAAAACATTCTTAGCTCAAGGGCTGTTCAAAAACAGGCAGGCTGTATTTGGCCCACAGTCTGTAGTTTACAAGCCCCTGGATTAGAAGACTGTATCATTTGAATCAGAGGCCATGAGACTTTAATGATGCCTAATAAGTGTGACAATGGCTGCATTCATCACATTAATGGCATCGTCCATTCAACAGACTACACGAGGCTGGACTTCTGGAGCCTGTGCCTACCAGGTGAGGAGACAAATGAAAAGGTGAAACTAAATCACACCCCCTCAAACTCACTAACCAAATCCTTCTCTTAATAAGGGGAAAGCACCATTCTCTGGCCCCTGTGAGGTTTTGCTCTTCACTTATGGCCAGTGTAGGTCTGGTTTTCAAAGGGTATTTCAACCTTCATTAGCACATAAGTTACTTACCAAAGCAAGGCGAAGGCTATCTGGGACAACAGTACCTGGAAACCCAGCAGGCGAAGAGGACTAATACCGTCTAATGCATCCAGAAAGCAGGTCCAACAAGAAGAAAAGGTTGGCTGCATCAGAATCCCCCAGGAAGCATGTTAAAAACAGGCTTCCAACCTTAGAGATTCTGATCCAGTAGATCTGGATTAGGGCCAAGTCACAAAGTCACTGCATTCATTAGACAACTATGGCTTGTGAATGTGAAAAGAAAGAAGATTAGCATCTAACCAGCTACTGCTAAAGAAAATGGTTTTCCAAACAGCTGAAGAAAGCTAACAGACCTATCCCTAGCACCAATGTCAAAAGAAATCTGGGTAGACTGAATTTTATGGGTTGCAATGTTACCCCCTCAAAATTCCTGTGTTGAAGTCCTAACCTCCAGTACCTCAGAATGTGACCTTATTTGCAGATGTAATTAGTTAAGATGAGGGCATTCCAAGTAGGGTGGTTCTTAATCCAGCTTGACTAGTGTTATAATAAGGAGAAATTTGGACATGGCCACAGGCACGTAGGAAAAACACCCTGTGAAGAGACACAGGGAGAAGGCAGCTATCTACAAGTCACGGAGAGAAGACTGGGAAAGATCCTTCCCGCTCAGCCCTCAGAAAGGACCAATCCTGACAACACCTCCACCCCAGACTTCTAGCCCTGGGAACCGTGAGACAGAAAATGTCTCTTGTTTAAGCCACCTTGATTATGCTTTTTTGTTACAACATCCATCCCCAGCAAATTAAACTGAAGGTCATAGGGAAATAGGCGGGCTACTCACAGGATTTCAACACTGAGACAGAAACCCTGAATTTCTTGAAGTTGCTAAAGTAAAATGTGGGCTGTTCCAGTTACAAAATAGCTACAGAATGACACTAGGCTTGCCACCAGCTTTGCAATACCCATCTAATGCTCTCTTTTTTTTACAGAGAACGCTGCTGACCAGAATACCAGGTGGAGTGAGCTTGGAAATCCACACACCCTCCCCGCCCCCAAACAACTATTATTACCTAGCCACTTGTGAATTGTCACCTCTTTTAAACTGCCTGAAGTTATCACAACCTCCAAACTTCATACTGCATCCAATCTAAATTACCTTCAAATTAAAAAAAAAAAAAAAAAAAAAAAAAGACTTTCTGGAGGAAATGTCAGCTTATTTTCTGTCACTATCCTCTTAAACCATTTAAGCCCTAACTTATTTCTGAGATTATACTTGGTTTACCAGTCTTTTCTCTTGCTTACTCGTTAATTACTTTTATATTTCCAAACTGATTTTGGAGAACAAAAGGTATTTAGTTTCGGGGTGGAGAACCAACTCCACCTAAAAAAATATTCTGGATAGGGAAGACATCCAACTCCTCTGATTAAAACTGCATTACGGGGCTTCCCTGGTGGCGCAGTGCTTGAGAGTCCGCCTGCCGATGCAGGAGACGCGGGTTCGTGCCCCGTGTCGGGAAGATCCCACATGCCGCGGAGCGGCTGGGCCCGTGAGCCATGGCCGCTGAGCCTGCGCGTCCGGAGCCTGTGCTCCGCAAATGGGAGAGGCCACAACAGTGAGAGGCCCGCATAACGCAAGGAAAAAAAAAAAAAAAAAAAAACTGCATTACGTGATTTGGATGCAACAAAGCAATTTAGACTTTCCCCTGGAGCGCCCTATAATGAGATTTGCCTTATGTCATGAAAATCAACTGCTCTATGCCTAATGCAGTAGTGTTTTTATTTTGCTGAGTCGCCACCAAAGTCAGGTTGGCACTTGAGACAATGTAACCTGCAGTGTACTAGAACAAAAGTTTTTCAATGCTGTCAGAGGGCACATGCCTTGTGACTGTCCCTACAGAAAAGA